TAATTGGTTTAGCCAAAAATCATTGAGCAAGTGTTTTGTTTGTCCCTGATGCCGTTACGGCGAAACGTTGGCTTGAATGAAACTACTTTTGTTTTCTGGAGTTATAGGTTATGTATTATTTTTTGTTTTTAAAATGAATTCAACTCTCTAGTTTTTCAATACAAACTTTAAACTCAATGTTGGTAACTTCAAAAAGATTAAAGTTATTAAGAGAACCCCCCCCCCCCACAAAATCCGACGTTTTTTTTTGTTAGTTAAAACCAACTACTTTTGGTAACAGAATTACCATTATCAGGGCTAGAGCCTACAGTGTTAGCTTAGTCTATATTCAGACCTAATGCTGGTATCTGTGTTAACGAAACTAGTCGGCTGTAATCAATGATAAAGGTTTGACCTTTCATTATGCTCCCGCTCCCCGTCAAAACACAAACAAAAAAAAACCCGTCGGTTCTTATGTTTTTTACTTTTAACATAGTAGCACAATGTGCCTAAAAAAGAAATTACGATTCAAGTTAATAAAAAGAAAAAACAACAACATAGTTTTCTCATTCTAATCATTCAGACAACTTTCTTTCAACATTTTCATAAACATAACGTTAAAAAAATACTTAAGGTAACTATCTGTTTCAATACGTCTTTTCGCACTTTATCCACGACGATCAACATAATTTCGAGAAGAAACGTAAGTGAATATAAATGATATTTATCGTTTTTCTGATACAACACGTTCGATCTATGAACTCGACGTTTGCAGTAAAAGCCCAGTCTGATTTTTTCCCCCCGCACTTTATATGATATCTTCACACAAAAGTCCTGAACTTTAGAGTTTTCGTAGATTCGATTCTGGATTTTTACTATTATGGCTTCTAGGGAGAGAAAGTTTACTTTGTCTGACAGGAAAAAAAAAAAACGACAACAACAAAAACACAGTACCACTTACACCGAAAAAAACCTTTAGAAAGATGTGATTTGAGTTATTTACCAATCTACAAATGGATAAAGGCAAGAGCAGAGAGTTAAAATAAAGTATTTGTTTAATGTTTTTAATCCTCAAACGTTTTTATAGCACGTTCTCTGCTGGTGACGTTCACGTATTGCGTCACATTGAGTAGCTTTATGGTTTGTGACCCTATTACAACGGTCACTGTAAAGAGCTAGCCAAAATAAGTGGGTGAAATCACCCATTTTCTGAGCAAAATCATAGTGGCCCCCTGTCGTGATTTGTAAAAGTAAAATCAATATCGACAGCATTTTTTATTGATTTATGTGTGTATAATTCGTACGCTACTTAGGTCCCTGTAACCAACAAAGTCATGGATTCTCAATCAAATCGGTACATAAATAATTCAGAAATACATATTTAAAGAGTCAGAGGAGGTCTAAATAGCTAATTCAGTTCAATTTACTTAAAATGCATGTTCCGCTGAATGATATTTAACAAAGACATACTAGAATATCACTCCTTCTAACCTTGTTTATATGATTATAGTTTCTGGATTGTTGGCTGTGATCCTTACAGAGACTCACGTTGTTTATGTGTTTTTTCCTTGTAGCTATTTTACATTATTGTTGTCTGGATTGTTGGCTGTGATCCTTACAGAGACTTACGTTGTTTATGTGGTTTCCTTGGAGTTATTTTACATTATTGTTGTCTGGATTGTTGGCTGTGATCCTTACAGAGACTCACGTTGTTTATGTGTTTTTTCCTTGTAGCTATTTTTACATTATTGTTGTCTGGATTGTTGGCTGTGATCCTTACAGAAACTCCTGTTGTTTATGTGTTTTTCCTTGCAGCTATTTTACATTATTGTTGTCTGTGATCCTTACAGAAACTCCTGTTGTTTATGTGTTTTTTCCTTGGAGTTATTTTACATTATTGTTGTCTGTGATCCTTACAGAAACTCCTGTTGTTTATGTGTTTTTTCCTTGGAGTTATTTTACATTATTGTTGTCTGTGATCCTTACAGAAACTCCTGTTGTTTATGTGTTTTTTCCTTGGAGTTATTTTACATTATTGTTGTCTGGATTGTTGGCTGTGATCCTTACAGAGACTCACGTTGTTTATGTGTTTTTCCTTGTAGCTATTTTACATTATTGTTGGTTGGAAATGTTTCTTGTTTTTCACCTCTGTTGTAGGATGTACCTGATGCATATTGTTTATTCACATGTAAAATTATTTAACTCTTTTTTTTTCATTCCCAATATGCACAAACAATGCATTCCAATGATTATAGTAGTGAGTGTTGAAGCAAATAATTATGTTGTATGTGTTACAGTATAAAACAATTTATTGTTTTACGATTTTGTTATAGCTTAATTATTGCCATATTTTTAACACAACATGTTTAACTCTTTAAGTATTAATTAAGATATTTAGGTTTATCCAGTAACTGGCATTAGTAATAATTAAAGCATCAGATATGACAATGTTTATATTTAAATGTAAGACTTAAGAACTAGTCACAATATCACTCTAGGACTCTCTCTCTCTCTATATATATATATATATATATACATTATGAGAAACATATAATACACTTACCTGGACCTTTTGAGCCACTATGTAGTAAACGCCCCAAGCGAAATATAACTGCGCGCTCATACTCTTGCACCACCTATTGGAAGCCCAGTGAAAAATGTTAAAAATAGCATTTACAAAAGTCCCCGTAAATGACTCTAGCACTTAATAATATGCCTATTCTAGATTTTTTATTTTTATTTTTTTTTCTGTAAATTTAAGGAGTCACTCCCATTGAAAAAAATATTTTGGGGAAAATCAAGTCTGCATTATTAAGCATACAAAATTTGGTCACGGATATAATAGATCTGTACTCTTGGATATGAGATAGTCGTAACTCGGGGTGCAAAACACCAATGAAAAGAAAGATTCATATCACGTGATCGTAAAAACTGCTTTTTTGTTCAAAACCTTTCTACATTCATAAATTATCTTAATAGTTTTGTAAATATGGCCAGTTTTCTTGTATTACCCCCCACACTCCCCTTGTTTTTTTCTTACTGGCAGGTACTCTTCCTGGTGGTGTATGTCAAAGTATGAAGAGGCCAGTTTTCTTGTATTACCCCCCCACACTCCCCTTGTTTTTTCTTACTGGCAGGTACTCTTCCTGGTGGTTTATGTCAAAGTATGAAGACTCAAAAGTCAAACAGATTATTTTGAAAATGTTCTAAAAATTCATTTTGATTCATGGTAAACATTTTCCATTTTATAAACACGTTCAAACATTTCTCCAGATGTTATTATTTATGGATCTTTAAACTGGCACAGATCATTATATTCTTAACCAACTTTTATTTGTGATAGTAATAAGTCCTAACAATCCCCCCGAGAAACGTTTTCTCCGTTTACCAAAGTTTCACAGTTTGATATTGTTGACCAAATTTCTTCTCAGCTAAACAATTTTTATTTTTACTTTATTAAAGGGACTGCGAATAACAAAAAAAAATCACAAGACAAAAACTTATGAACACTTTAGACAAGACAAGTCAAACAAAACAAAAAAATATGCTTTTTTTATATCAGTTATAGACAACTCCGCAGAAGTAAATCATATTGTCAAAAAAACAAACAAAAAAAAACAGAAATTAAAGTTTTCTCGTGAAGTTGAACTACAAATGGTACGTGTTTGAAATAACTAACACAGGGTAATTTCAAACATGTAACATTTTTTCTCTCTTATCACAGTTTTAACATCAACTCACCGGATTTCTTGTTTAGTTCGGTAGGTGCTAAGTTCTTCATGGCTAATGTATTTACACGGGTTTTCAACGATTATATCAACAGAGCAGCCACCCATGATGAAGAGAAAAGAGTAAGAGAGTGTTTCAAAAAAGATCGTGTTTATGATACAACCATTTACAGGAACCCATGCTTTGAAAATCAAGCAGAATATAAAGAGCTTTTTTTTGTAACGTGTACCCACAAGTTGAACTACGTGTGGTAGTTAAACCGGTATGCAGAATAAGGAATTATTTTGTATTCAAAGACAGAAGTTACAAAGCGGACCGGTCACATGTCGTCTACAGATATCGGTGCTCTGTTTGTAATAGTGCGTATATAGGGACGACGGTGAGGAGTTTGTGTGTTTGTAGTTAAGCACAAAGCTACACAATGGGCTATCTATGCTCTTCCAACCACGGGTATCGAAACCCGGTTTCTAGCGTTGTAAGTCCGCAGACATGACACGCACTGTGCCACTGGGGGGCACGGTGAGGAGGCTTAGTGATCGAGTTAAAGAATATGGTGTGGCAAGGTATACAAAATTCTCAAACAGTTTCCGACATAAAGAACAATGCGTGAATGTAAATATAAAAATTGAACAATTCTAAATTATCGGTAAGGCTGAAAATGAGCAATGGCTAAGGTTAAAAGAAACATTAGCCATAAAGAACTTAGCACCAACCGAACTAAATAAGAAACCCAGCACCGGTGAGCTGATGTTAAAAGTGTGAGAAGGGAGAAAAAAAATTTTGATAATGTTTTTTTTTTAATATTTCGCTAATATTTAAAATAGCTACTTCCAAACAGAGTTAACGGGTGGTTAAACAGTAGACCAAAGAGAGCAAAAAAGAAGATATGTAATTCAGAGATGCTTGGTGTGAAAATTGTTTCTCTGAGAGGAGAGGAAGTTACCGGTAAACTGAAACACAATGACTCTTGTCGTATAAAGAAACTTCGGTTGTGAATATTTATTAAAGTCTGTAAATTATTAACTATAGAAATACTCTTTCAACCACACAAACAATTATCATTGTACAGTGGAACTTCTTCGACCCTCATAGTTACAGAGGCCTCTATCGAATCAACGTGGGAAAAGAACATATGCTTCACGTACTAGAAACATTCACAAATAAAAAAGTCACATTGAAGTGCATGATACAACAGACTTGAAAACAATAGCCAGCTAACTCAAAACTGTGAATAAACACGAACACGAAATGTTAAGAACAGTAACTAAAAACGATCGGCCTAACACGAAAGGTTAAGAATAGTAACTAAAAACAATCAAGCTAACACGAAAGGTTAAGAACAGTAACTAAAAACGATCAAGCTAACACGGAAGGTTAAGAACAGTAACTAAAAACGATCAAGCTAACACGAAAGGTTACGAACAGTAACTAGAAATAGTCAAGCTATATTAATTAATCTACACCATTAATTTCGTTGAAGAAAGACAGCTAGTTTTATTCTTTTTTGTAATAGCTATCACTTTTTTATGTCATACTTCATACGCGCATGTAAGTGAACCACAGTGTACTGATTGTTTGTTTTAGAGCAAAACGCTAATTTTAACCAACAAAAAACGTTAAGTTTCATGTTGATAGAAAGTGTTTTTTTTGGGGGGGGGATGTGCTCGGCAGAAGATAACTTTAAATGTTTATTAATCTATTTATTTATTTGTTTTTGTTTTAGAGCAAAACGCTAATTTTAACCAACAAAAACGTTAAGTTTCATGTTGATAGAAAGTGTTTTTTTTTGGGGGGGGGATGTGCTCGGCAGAAGATAACTTTAAATGTTTATTAATCTATTTATTTATTTGTTTTTATTCTACAGTGTAGTGAGTTTTTTTTCCTACTTAAAATCATTTATTTTGCTTTGCCATTTTTTTTATTAGATGCCACGGGGATTATACATTAACTAGTCATTAAGCCATACTTCTTACAGTGGATAATATTAAGATATCACTTCACTGTCTGTTTTATAATAATCATCCGCTTGTTTTTACTTTTAGTTTCAGCTCAGATATAAAACAGCCGACATATGGCATGATCATTTTTAACATCAGACTTGAAAGGTAATTTTCTGTTACTTCTTACCTTGATACATATGAAGAGGGATAAAGGTAATGTCGCTAAGAACAAGATGAACGACAGGGCAGTGAGAATCCAGCCACAAAAACCCAAGCCCGAAGATTCACCTGTTTCTGCTGCAAAAATAAAACAAAATTCAAAAGGTGATTCCTAAAAGCCAAAACGGATAAGGGATTTCGTTAGTCTCTCCCTCTTGAATTGATTTCTGCGTTGAACTACACTTCAATGTAACTCATTTAAAAAGCTACATACCATAATTTCTACATGGCGTGCCAAAATTATTCAACTAATGAATAATACGATGTTTCAGATATGAATAAGCAGTTCACGCACTGCCAATGGAAACACTTATAACATTGATTACAGTATTCTACACATTGTTGCTACTTAATAATAAAACTGCTTGTTAATTCCTAACTTTTGACACTCAATGTATTAATTATGATATTCTACACATTGTTGCCACTTAATGATAAAACTACTTGTTAATTCTTAACTTTGACACTCATTGTATTATTTATTGTATTCTACACATTGTTGCTACTTAATAATAAAACTGCTTGTTAATTCCTAACTTTTGACACTCAATGTATTAATTATGATATTCTACACATTGTTGCCACTTAATGATAAAACTGCTTGTTAATTCCTAACTTTTGACACTCAATGTATTAATTATTATTACTATACTTGCTTCTGGTGACGATTGTTGTAGTATATATTTTTTTGTTTATTGTAAAATGTCGTTGAATTAAAACTTAAGAAATACTTATGTGAGTAACACGTGATAAAAAGAATTAAAAAGACCAGCAATATTTGGTTATTGTTATACTCAGCAGAATATAAATAATGCCCTCTATCTCTTAACAGCTCTGGTAAGTATTTGGAATGTATTATCCTTAAGAAGGAATATATACCTCAAAATAACAAGTCGTTAAAGACCAAGCTTTTACTTTGATAAAGACATAAAGAACGTTACGTCTAAATAATTAGATGTAGCTATGTGGACTTAAACGCTACTTATCATGCTCAAAGCACGTGAACCAATTATAATTATAACAATAGAGTAAACAAGTATCTAGAGCGTATAATCTTATAGCCACAAACTATATTTTTATAATGAAACTTACGGTAGACACAGAATGAAAAAAAAACGTAAAGAAAAAAGCAATAAAAAGTAATTAAGATTTTTTTTAATGAAAAGAATTTGATTTTCCTAACATTGTATAGCAAATCACTGTTTACGTAGATTTTTATAATATTATAAAAACTTGTATAACATATATAGCAGGAAACCTTCAATAGCTAACTATAGGCACGTGATAAAACGTTACTTATGAAACTTTTAAACCTTCAAGCTTTTGAAGTGTGTAAAAGCATAATAAAAAATAGTTTATTAATGTAACACATATTTAAAAATTAAACAGAATGATAATTGACGTTAATTATTTTCAATAGAAGATCACATAGAAGGATTAATTTATATTTATCAAGTTGAACATTTTAGTTGACTATGCTGTTATAACTAAGCTTGACAAGCAAAGGGACACATTTATTACGTAAACTTTCTCATTATAATAAAAAAAAAACGATAACACAAGTCGTTGCTTATAAAACGAGAACAACAAACACTAGAGTGTTATATTTTGGGTAGAGGTAAGCATTCAGTGAATAAATGTAGTAATTATAATACTAATAACGACACAACGTGAACAACAAACGCTTTGGGTTATTGAAGTACAATTACAGACCAACAATCTCAGCTGGTACCTTGTACATGATAACAAGTTTGTCTCAGTATGAAGAAGATCTTTCCATTAGAGTAAGGTTCGTTACATTAGTAACTATTTACTCACTCTCAGTACCTTGTACACGATAACAAGTTTGTCTCAGTATGAAGAAGATCTTTCCATTAGAGTAAGGTTCGTTACATTAGTAACTATTTACTCACTCTCAGTACCTTGTACATGATAACAAGTTTGTCTCAGTATGAAGAAGATCTTTCCATTAGAGTAAGGTTCGTTACATTAGTAACTATTTACTCACTCTCAATAACTTGTACATGATAACAAGTTTGTCTCATTATGAAGAAGATCTTTCCATTAGGCTAAGGTTCGTTACATTACTAATTATTTACTCACTCTCAGTACCTTGTACATGATAACAAGTTTGTCTCAATATGAAGAAGATCTTTCCATTAGACTAAGGTTCGTTACATTAGTAACTATTTACTCACTCTCAGTACCTTGTACATGATAACAAGTTTGTCTCAGTATGAAGAAGATCTTTCCATTAGAGTAAGGTTCGTTACATTAGTAACTATTTACTCACTCTCAGTAACTTGTACATGATAACAAGTTTGTCTCAGTATGAAGAAGATCTTTCCATTAGAGTAAGGTTCGTTACATTACTAATTATTTACTCACTCTCAGTAACTTGTACATGATAACAAGTTTGTCTCAGTATGAAGAAGATCTTTCCATTTGTGTAAGGTTCGTTACATTACTAATTATTTACTCACTCTCAGTACCTTGTACAAGATAACAAGTTTGTCTCAGTATGAAGATCTTTCCATTAGAGTAAGGTTTGTTACATTACTAATTATTTACTCACTCTCAGT